TAATAGAAATCTACACAGAAGATTGACATGTTCTTGCTGTTGTTGTGTTGATGGATGCCCATTAGTCACCAACATCCTTCGTCATGAGAAAGCGTTTTAAAAATTCCCTTTTATCTAATACCACCCCTAGGTACTAGAGGTGGTCCATGCAGAGTTGGAAGCCGGTGACGCCATTTTCTTCCACTGTAACGTCCTGCACCGGAGCGACGCGAACAGGTCAAACCGGATCCGGTGGGGATATCTTATCGCTTACAACCGGGCCTCCAACGACCCCGTGTACGAGCACTACAACGCCTCGTACACACCGCTCAACATGGTCAGTAGGGTACGGTGTTTGTGTAGACGACGCAGGTGTCGTGCGTAGACCACACAGGTGCCATGCGTAGACGACGCATGTGTCATGCGTAGATTACGCAGGTGTCGTGCATATACGACGTAGGTGCCATGCGTGGATGGAGCAGGTGCCATGCGTAGACGGAGCAGGTGCCATGCGTAGACGGAGCAGGTGCCATGCGTAGACGATACAGGTGTCATGCATAGACGACGCAGGTGACATGTGTAGACGACGCAGGTGTCATGCGTAGACGACGCAGGTGTGCGTAGACCACGCAGGTGGCATGCGTAGACGGCGCAGGTGTCGTGCATATACGACTCAAGTGTCGTACATATATGACGTAGGTGCCATGCTGGTGTCGTGCGTGGACGACGCAGGTGTCATGCGTGGATGGAGCAGGTGTCATGCGTAGACGGAGCAGGTGCCATGTGTAGACGATACAGGTGTCATGCATAGACGAAGCAGGTGTCCTGTGTAGACGACGTAGGTGTCATGCGTAGATGATGCGGGTGTTGTGCATATAAAACGCAGGTGCCATGCGTAGACAACGCAGTTGTCATACGTAGACGACGCATGTGTAGACGACGCAGGTGTTTGCGTATAGATGGCGCAGCTTCTTTTGGGTTTTGATGATAAGTTGAGGCCAAACATGTACTTCATCTCAAATTTTATAGCTTATACCCTTACATGTTCTTATTAATACCTTTGCTAACTGTTGTTAGAATCAGACTTATCAAACTTTTATTGTATTCCCGCTGCCCAGGTTGATGACTCGGAGATCAAGAAGTGCACCAACATGACGGACTTCTCGGGGAAATGTTTCACCGACCCCGCCGACAACAAGAACATCGTCCGGGGTGAAAGTCATAGGCCACTGAGCCAAGCAGAGCTTGTGTTCGTAGGTATTCGAATTGGCCTGGTTACCTGGCTATATTCGAATGCCCAACACTGGCAGAAAGGAATTTGGTACCGCAGATTGACCTTCAGGTCAAGTTGTAAGGAAGTATGGCTTCACACACAATGTTTAAATTTTGTCACAGAGTGATCAAAGTACCCATGCTTGATCTCCGCTTCTCTGTTGAGTGGCAAAAGGAATTTGGTACCGCAGATTGACCTTCAGGTCAAGTTGGAAGGAGATATGACTGTTTAAATTTTGACACAAAGTGATCAAGATGCCCATGCTTGCTCTTCGCTTCTCTGTACTGATCGAGTAGCGGAACGTCATAATAAAGATTTAGAAAAGTTCAAAGTAATCATGTGCCAATTTACGTTAAAACAACAAGAAGTCCTATTTTTGTGAATTTCTTGCTTTATTCATTGTCGTGACCTATGTTAGACCCTTTGTGATCTGTGGTTAGGGAAATTCCTTATGCACAAATATACATAATGTATAACGATATTAATAACGCCACAAACGTACGGAGCTAAGAAGACGGTTGAAACTGAACACTAGCATGCTTAATTGATATTTGCAGTAGATACGAGACCATTACATTATCCTTTCTTTGACACATAGTTCATCAGAACAGCAGACTGGTCGATCAAATCAAAAACCTCCAGCATATTTGCAAACGTTTGTGTTTTTATAAGATGGGTCACAACAAGTTTGGAGGACGAAATAATAATGGATATGTACATTTGTAAGACTTAAATAAACTTCTTGATACTTAATGCCGACTATTGTCAAGTGTTGTTTTTTTTACCATGAAGGGCAATACCTCAACAAAGATGGGGGGCGCCACAGACTTTCTGCAACCTATGATCCACAGCTGAGTCACGTGTGTTCTCTGCATAACATGACGTCAAGGAAGCTCATTCCTTGAGAAAGACGAGTTGTACAGTAAAAATGTGGGTAAGTCCAATTTTGTGTGTTGGAAATTACAGTAAAACTTGCTACATAATGAGTCCATAGATTATTCGTAATACACCCCGAACACGGTCCCTGTGGCGTACAGAGCCTCGTTGTGGAATGACGCTGTGGCGAAGTTGTCCCGCTGGACGTCCCACAGACAGCGTGACGTCACGTGTACACACTGACCTCGCTTCTCTCCGATAGACACAACAACAACCAGCTTCATTCTAAAAAAATAAAGACAGAAAGAAACATTTTTAACATGTGAAGCATTTCAAGGATTGTGAATTTATTTGTGGTTTCATTCATTGTTAATTTGTGTATTTACATGTATGTTTGTGGCTTTTCACACTGGCACTCAGTCAATCCATAGCACTCCTGCAAAACGGTCGTGTTAGCGTATGTAATCATTAATGTTTTTTTAAATGTTGTTGGAAAAGACATATTCAACAGACAAAATTTTGACCAAGCATATAATAGAAACCACGTACGGCGCAGGCGTAGTACGTTCTGCTGTTGTGCTTAATTATTCCCGGTTCAACCAACCATCATGGAGGTGTAGAGCAAAACACCCTGCAGCAAATACACGGATCCCGATCTCATTGGTTGAATAGATCAACCAATGAGAGGATGGCAATTAGCGGTTCGACCAATGAGTGATGAGTGTCTGCATGCCCGTCAAATATTTGCAAGAACTACGCTTTGACAGAAGTGGGCGGGGCTTTAGGATCGGACTATTGTAGGTTTCGAGGAAGGTTCAAATCTAAGTTTCAGACTACTATTGCTACAACAACTACTACTACTACTACTACTATTACTACTACTACTACTGCTACTACTACTACTACTACTACTACTACTACTACTACTACTACTACTACTACTGCTACTACTGCTACTGCTACTACTACTACTACTACTGCTACTACTACTACTACTACTACCACCACTACTACTACTACTATTACTACTACTACTGCTGCTGCTGCTGCTACTACTACTGCTACTACTACTACTACTACTACTACTACTACTACTACTACTACTACTACTTCTACTACTACTAATACTACTACAACTACTAAGGACACCGCGAACCTGTCATACTCCAGAGCCTTCACCCTCCTCATGATATCCTGCGCCAGGCCCTTGGTCAGCTCCCGTGCCCGGTCCACCTCGTACACGTCGCCGCCCAGGTTACAGCTCAACACGGTCAAGATGACGTCCCGCACGGTGGGAACACTGAAGCGGTTCTCCGGCTCCAGACGGAAGGTGTTCGGCTGGGGAGACTTGTGTCTGCACAGGTCCGTTTGGCTGTCAACAAAAGCACCAGCATTCATCATGCAAATTAATTTGTACCTAATCATGTAAATCTAATCGTCCTCTAGCCCCGTTCACCTTCACCAAAACGACCACGTTCACAGAATAAAAACATAAAAAAGGAGATGGATATGCAATCACTATCTCATTGGTCGAACCCCCTAATTGCCATGCTATCATTGGTTGAACTGCTAATTGTAATCATCGGTATGTGCCCCCGTAGTCCAGGAGGACCAGCCTGTGAAAAAAAACTCGTGTCGTAGCCCACCCCGCGCAAACTTTGGCCAGTACCGTAGAATGATCGGTTCGAAAAAAAGGTTGGAATATTTGGGCCCAAATTTGACCATCGTGAAAGAAACCACTTTGTCCCACTTGGCCCCTACCACCTCATACCTGAAAATGATTAGGGGGCATCAAGGTACGATTTTATGGTAATGACCAAAGTATGTATAGGGTGTGCTACGTTTCTCATTTTCTAGGCATTTTCTGAGACTCTCCTCCTAGATTACCGGTCTGATTGCGTTAATTCGTTAGAAGCGGATTAAAAGAGAAAGCCGTGACTATTGATATAATAAGCATGTAAATGTATTAGCTGTGGAAATTATCTGTGGCATTTTGTTGGTGACAAAACCCGTCTGTTACAAGACCCCTTCCCTGTGTAACGAAAACATGACCTTTTTGTTTTAGTGAACTGTACAAAAGGCGGGGGGGGGGGGCTAAAAGTGTCCACGCCAACTTTGATGTCGGATAACGTCCGAACGGCTTGCGCTAGGGCCACCAAACTTGATGACTTTTCCTAAAACATTGTTGTCAACAATTTTATAGCAGTGAGATAAATTAATAACTTTTCGTGACAGGCATTTTTTTGCAAAAATCAGTGATTTTTACTTAAACAATGTAATTTTCAGGCTTTCATGTTAATTTACACATGCTTCCTAATATTGATAACATCTTATATAATTTCATGTAATTTTTATCAATAATTCTGCATAATAAAATTCGAGCGTAGTGGAAAATCTGGATGATACCCAGTCAGCTACGGACGTCCATCACAAATGTCAAATAACACCGACATCAGCTCTTCGGGCAAATTATGACGTCAACCAACCTGAAATTAAAAGCCCTATTTTCATGTTAACCTTCGCAGAAGGAAACATATTGTTTTTTCTCAGGTTCTTCTTCTTTAAACAAATAAGGTCAATGACCTGGACCAGATGTCTGTCACCAAGGTAACCGGTGATGTAGCAACACCTCTGGTGTTGGGTTACATTAGAATAAACCGTGCAGTAGTTTGTTGGGTTGGGTTAGACCAGGTGAAGGTAAACATTATGCATTTGCTTTGCAAATGTTATAATACCTTTCAAGTTTTATCCATACTTTTTCTACAGAGCCAATGTTCTTCCTTTCCTTTGTGGCGTCGGGTGGTGTAGTGGTAGATCATTCGACTGTGAACCGGGAGACCCGGGTTCGATCCCGAGTCGTACCCAGGACATCTCTGGACATGCGCCCGACGTTGTGTTCTTGGGAAAGGCACCTTACACGACTTTCCTCACTACACCCAGGTGTGAATGGGTACCTAACTTCAGTTGGGGAAAGCCGTATTGAGGTCACTTTGTGGCGCCGAATGGTAGCCGTACAGACCCTTGCGACAGTTCCACAAAAATGTGGGTGAAACAAATTTATATCATGTATATTATTATTATTATGTGTATTATTATGTGTATTATTATGTGTATCATATACCATTTGTATAATGTGATTGTAAACCCTGCATCAATTCAGCGATTGCAAGGGTGATGTTTGGCCAATAGACCAGGCCGATAAACCATTCCTTGGCTCTGTATAAAGGTGTTTATCATAGTTGTTATCTCCTAGGAAAGATCGTAAAGGTTGCCACTGACCTTCCGAGTTCAGGTTCACATGCCAGGGACACATAGCTCGCGCCTGCGCAGCTGCGCGGTCTCTCGGTTGGTATTTGGAACAGACTTGAGCGCGCAGACTCCATATTCGCCGCGAACAGCTGGAAAATAGTGGAAATGTATTGACACAACAAAAGTACAGCGACTTTCGTAAGGTACATGTAGACATGCAGAAAGATACGTAGGTACAACAAAATCAACCTACGTACAAAACAATAGTTGAATCAACTAGTGCTACTTGGTCTAGCTAAGGTCTAAACATCCTTTGATATACTGAACTATTTATACACAGTAAGGGTTATTCTTGTTTCATATCAGCTAATTAAGATTGTCGTCAGTAGTATATAGTGATCAAACAATGACTAGTCTAAGTAACAGCAAACACACACAGTTACGTACTATGTCTTACATACTATTATATGCACCTCTTGAACGGCAGTTATTATAGGCAGCTTTCACTGAATACACTAGAAAATCAGGAAAGGCGAAAAATTCATGCTTACCGATCGCGATTAGGCAGGTATTTCGTAGCCTCCTTGGCAAATTCTCCGAGCTCTTTTTTTTGGGGGGGGGGGGGCGTTAAATCAGAATTGGAAATCTCCTATGGAGGAGGGTATTTATGTCAAAAGAGGGAAAATGCTTGTCGTATGTCCTTCTTTCAGGCTTTTTGGTCCAAATGTTTTCTCCACAAGTTGCGTGTGGTTTTGTATCCAATTACACGCCGTGCCCCGACCTATGTACAGTGTATTCATGCGGTAGTGTATCGTCTCTACCATAAGAAAATCGATTACTTGGCTGGCTGCCACCTTTGGTCACGCTCATATCAGGTTTACCAACAGAATAATACAGTAGGAATTGTGCTGACCGACTCCAAACATCCATGCGACATCCACACACCGACCCCCCACTCCCTGTTTGCGCCATGTCAGAAACTGTCTCCAATGACAAATCAGGTATCATGCGTTATGGTTGATGACGTCATTGGCCAAAATCTAAGATACCATAGCATAGCATACCATATCATTAGAACAGGTATATACAGCTTATTTTCCTTAAAATTTCATCAAAACTTCCATTTCTTTTTACAAAAAAAGGCTCATATGAACGTCTTTAGTCTGTTTACAATGTATTTTAGGCTTTATCCTAAAAAAAACTATTTTTGAAAATTTAAGATTTGATGGTCCAAAATGGCGGATAGCTTAAGTATGCATGACGTCATTTTGTGATTGTAGTTCACTTCCATTTTGCAACCTATTTGTATAATTATCTCACATTTCTAACATTTATGTCGATGTGTCACATAAGCGTCGGTGGCGGAACGGTCGGGGGGTTGGCTCAAACTAACAGGTCCCGTGTTCGATATTCACCATGCCCCCGTTGTACCCCTGGGAAAGGCACTTTACACGACGTTCCTCCATATACGATGGAGTGACGACCAACTTGTCTGTTAGGCTAATCTGCCAGGATTATTTTAACAATGTGAATCTGTACTGATAAACAGTCTGTTATTATTATTGAAGTAAACTTAAAGATAGATGATGAGATATTATCATATCCCATCAAGTTTTACTCCCATCCCATCAAGGTTTGCTTCAATAAGAATAA